CCAGTCCTACAGAAGTATATAAAAGGGGACCTGCGTGGTGGATAAAGTACCATCTTCGAAGGTCATGTGGGAATGTTTCCTTCTGAATACACGTGGACAGTGCTGTTCCTTCAGTTGGGGGATGAGTGCACATGCTCTCGTTTAAGAAGTTCCCCCAAAGGAGCCCAGCAATAGAGGTGCAGGGGTCTCGATGCAGGACCTTCATCACAAGCTTCTGGAGAAGCCCTAAGGGAGCACAATGAAATGTACTGCAGATGTCCTCCAGGGAATGTCGTCTTCTTCTCTTCTTCCTTTCCCTTGCTCCTCTTCCCTTGAAAACTCCAAACTTCCAGACAAGTATGGGGGGGGGGGGAAGCAGTGAGCCTCATGGACCTGTGACCCCACTAAGAAGTCACTAGTCCAAACCATTCTTGTCTGTCCGTGCTACCCTCTTCCCACCTCACATGCCAGGTTCTTTCCAAGAAGTCATACATCTTGTCATTTCAGCTACAAACTTTTCAGTATGCAGCTTGAGACCCTGGGGTCTGGGCCAGTCACAGTCACACCATCACCACCCTGTCTAATTCTTTGCTGTCTCCATTGTTCTGTGGATATGTGAACTTCCTGTTGTCACAGTACTTTTTCCACAGTGTGGGGTGGATAGATCAGGTGTGCAAATCCGTCATGTCACTAGCTTGTGTCTCAGCCTAACCTCCCTCCTGGTCCCGCTCCCTGCCACTTTCCCTCCCGTGTTGGTAGAGAAGCTTCATCATTTGGTAGCCACACCATTTACATGTGTGTGTGGAACCAATACTTCCTGCCGGTGGCAGTTACATAGAGGTCTGGTTTGTCTGGGAGCACGAATATTGCAGAGCAGGCACTATGCTCTTCCACCAGAAGGCACAGCAAGTCTGTGTCTTTCTTTAGGGGCAGGTTGGCAGCCACTAAGAATCCTTACCTGGAGCCATTTCATTAGGGGTTCATTTAATTTCATTAGCAGTGAGTCTTCCTTTTTTTTTATTTGCTTTTTGGGTTACACCCGGCGATGCACAGGGGTTACTCCTGACTCTGCACTCAGGAGTTACTCCTGGCGGTGCTCAGGAGACCATATGGGATGCTGGGAATCAAACCCGGGTCGGCCATGTGCAAGGCAAACGCCCTACCCGCTGTGCTATCTCTCCAGCCCAGTGAGTCTTCCTTCTTTATCACCTGGATAGATCTGTGAAATTTTTCCAGACTATCTGGTTGCCCTTAGTACTTGTGTCCAGAAGAGGCTGGCTCCATGCTTTCTGCTTTGCTGTTACTTTTCAGTACTCCAAGTCAGGAGTCAGTTCCCTGCTACCTGCCAGGGGTCCCAAGGCTTTGGTTTTAGTTTCATTTTGAAGTCCTGACTTTTAACAGATAACGGTGTTTACCCTTGGCCACGAATCTCTCCTACTGTTCAGACTGTTCCTGTTTGGGCCATTGGGAGCCTCACCATATGCTCCTGAATCTCTGGAAGCATCCTCGCTTGGATGCCGACTTCTTCACCAACTCCTGCACCAGACCTGGAATAAACCCTTCACCAGCATCCTGGCTCTTTTTACTAAGAAGCTGCACCAAAATACCAGAGTGAATTTTAGTCTATAGTCTATAGTCTATAGTTATGAATATAGTTATGAATTTGCTCATGTTTCTAGACCTCTTCCAGGTACAAAATGTTTTTCTACTTATTTGTATCATTAGGGAATCCCCCACATGGGATACCCAGTTACCTTTGATGTTGGGGTTATTTTGTAGTGTATATGTGCGTGTATGTGTGTGTGTGTTTGTGTAGTTCTGTTTTATTTTTGCAATGACCAGGCATTCACAGATGCAAGCAAGTGTTTAAGCACTGAGATACATTCCTGGCCCCATAGTACTTTGCTCTAAGGTCACCTGAAATAACTTCACCACCCTTGGTTAAGTCAGCAACTCATTACACAAAAGATTTGTTTGCTTTTATTTGGTTTTTAAAATTAGAAACTAATTTTAAAATTAGTTTCTAATTTCTAGTTGTGAAAACATTTATGTGGTTCCAAAGTTTAATCTACAAACAAGGCATATCTATCTCAAGGTAACTAGAGTCTACCATTTTCTGTCCACTAAGATCCCTCCCCACTATTTCATTTCCTGGTTTATTATTGAATTTAGAACAAATGGGCACACACATTCAAGTGACCCCATTTCTGAGCTAAATTATTGTATATTATGCACACTTTCAAAATAACCCAACACTATTTCTTGTTACTCTGATACTCAAATTGTTCCAGCTTTGGCTATTGAGAGCTTTTTCAAAAGTTGGCTCCTTTGCTATGCCCCATCATTTTGTATTTTTCTTTTATATTGAGCATTTCTTATTTAATGGCACTATAAGACAGTCACATTTCCTAGCTCGCCAAGAGTCAGCCTTGGTTCTTTGTCTTGGAGAATAGTTTCAGAAACCAAAATGTGTGCACCGAGTGTGCTCACTGCCCCTGAAAACCCTTCCACTCCGCCTCAGCAGCTACAGACTAGGAGATGGAGGTGGTGTCTGAGAACATGCACATGTATGCATGTTCACACACACAACACACATAAACATATGCACAAACACACAGACACAAAAACACACACGTACACAAATAACACACAAACACATATATAAACATACACTTTCACAAACACACATACATACACAAACACACATATACACATAAACATATACGCAAACACATACACAAACACATACACAAACACTCACACAAACACACACAAACACAAACATAAACACATATACAAACACACCTATACACAAATACACACACAAACAAACACACACACAAATAAACACACACACACATAAACTTTTCCATAGTGGAAGATTTTTCCTCACATTCAGGGAACCATGGTTGGGGGGAGGGGCAGGTAAGCCCAGGGTCCACACAAACAGAGCCCCTGCAACTGAAAGCCCCACAGTCCACAATTGCCCCATTGCCACCATGTTCCTGGCTAGACCCCTCTGTCTGGGAACAAACCTCACCCAGAAATTAATCCGCTAAAAAATTCAGGTAAGCAGGTCTTGTCACTGAAATCTCCAGGCATTCATGGAGCCGGGATGGGCTACCTTCCCCATCTCCCTGTACTTCCAGAAGTTCCAGCAGTTACGTACACACCCCAGAGCCACCACCCAGTAAAAAAAATTAACTCCAGCTGTATCACCATGTGAAAAATTCTGAACTTCCTGTAGTGCACAGCCACATTTGCGGTCGTGCAGTTTCTCAAACTCTACAACACTGATAAAACAGGAACAGCACACCAGATTAAATGGGATGCAATGTAGAAGGCAACCAATCTTATTTTCCCCCTTTTTATAATTTTATTTATTTAATCACCACGAGAGCAGTTACAAAGCTTTCGGGTTTAAGTTTCGGTCATACAATGAAACACCCATCCCTTCACCAGTGCCCATTTTCTACCACCAAAAACCCCAGTATACCCCCATCCCACACCCTCCCCCTACCTGTGGGGCAGATGATTTCCACATTACTCTCTCTCTACTTTGAATACATTCAATATTTCGACACCATACCCACCATGATTATTTGGAATTTTATCCCAACACTCAGATCTGCCAAAAAGGCAACAGTAGACAATTTTTCTACTGCTGGTTATGAATAACACATGATGTTGTGCAGCCTCAGTAGAGGCCGCGCGATTTTGGAATTCTGAAATTTTAACAATTAAATCTGGAGGGATTTCTACCAAAACCTGCTGGGTTCCGAGATTTGTTCCTGAGTCTCTTAGATCGTGGCCATTAAACAGCTTGATCAGTAGCCAGAGAGGCCATTCGTGGGCGGTGATCTGGGGTCTCGTTGAGGCAGCAAGGAAAGGGCCAGCTCCACCCCATCCCGTGAGGCCCCATGTGTCTTGTCACTGCGGGCCCAAACCTTACTGTTCAATGGTCTCTGGACCATGGCAGCCACCAAGCTGCCAAGGGGGACCAGGCGGAAGGACAGCACCCTTTCCCCCCTGGGGTGGTGCAGTAACAGTAACCTACTGCAGGAACCAGACCCATTTCTGCCAAAAGCCGCTGGGTTCCGAGATTTGTTTCTGAGTCTCTGGGTTCATGGTCATTAAGCAGTTCGATCAGGAACCAGAGAGGCCTTGCCTCCAATTATATAGCAGAGCCGGAGGTGGTTTGTTGGTGTGTCTCCCACACACCTAACTTTTGGCCGTTTACTTTCTTGGTAAACTTTGCCCCCAGTTTTTGGGGTCTGGCCAAAGGCACAGCAGCAATTTGGGGGTATCTGAAAGTCTGATGCACCATCAGGCTGCTGATGCACTCGCCTCACAGGTACAGACTTACCTGCTGGTGGCACCATACCCCCTGAAGGCAACCAATCTTGATTAACCAAGTACAAATACAGAAGACTTAACCTGTAACAACATCTTAGTAATCTCTTCCACAAGAACTTTATTGCTCCATGATGAGATACAACAATTTTCACTTTCTTCTAAGGAAACATTTTGATCATTCTGTTAGCAAATTATTGATAGCAAGCGATATAAAATAAATTAAAGAGGGCCTGCTATGAGGGAAGGCCTAGGGGTGACTGGGAAAATTGGAGACAATGGCAGAGGGAAGGTGTAATGGAGTAATGGGATTGGTGTTGGAATATTGAATGCCTGTAACAAATCATTACGAACAGCTTTGTAAACCACAGTGTTTATACAAAGTGTAAGGGGAAATCTTACATATGCAGACCTTACCTATTCCACGTAAACTCAAGATACATATTAAAACAGAATTGCTTTAAAATTGTTATTAATGACAGATGAAGTACAATTATTACCATAATGAGATCCAAGTATAAAATAAAATGTAATACAATTTTTTAAAAAATATATAAAGTCACTATTTGTATTTTTATCAAGCTAAACTTGCTTCCATGCCAAGTTCTTGACTCTAGCCCACTACATATGGATTATTCTAGCCTCCTCCCATTGCTTCTGCCAACTCTCTGCACAAATGTTGCTTTGCCTTTAAAATACTTGTTTCCTCTGGTGTGCAGTGGCTGCAGAGCAAGCAGTGTCCCCAGCAGTACAGCAGCCTGTGTGGCCTGTGTGGGCTGTCATAAGGGACCCTGGAGATGGTCCCTTGCTGTGGATGATTCTATCTGCTCTCAGGTCCGATACAAGTATGGGGGGACCCTATGGGAAGCCCCAGGGCACAGTGGCCAGGGTCCACATTGGCCAAGTTATCATGCCCATCCACACCAACTGCAGAGCAAGGAGCACTGATTGAGGCTCTGCGCCGGGTCAAGCTCAAGTTCCTTGGTTGTTGGAAGACCTACATCTCCAAGAAGTACGGTTTTACCAAGTCCAATGTAGTTGAATTTGAAGACATGGCAGTTCAGTTGGAAGACATTGAGAAGTGGCTCATCCCAAGGGTTGTGGGCAGATGTGAGCACCGCACTCCTGAGAGCCTGGCATTGCCACCCCCAGGTCCCTGCTCCCCCCCCCACAGCCATCACCACCCCATCCTACCCCGCCACAATAAATCATGCTGCTTAATAAAAACAGAAACAAAAATTATTTCCTTTAAGACAGGAGGTAAGGGTCAAGGTCAAAGGAATCAGCGGGAACCCCAGATTCCTTCTCCAGCACTGCAAGGTCCCCCAAGTGGCCCTCAAGCACAGCCAAGAGGAGCCCTAAGCACCCCCAGGTGTGACCTTCCCCCTAACCCACCCACAGATGAAGGAAAACAGCCACCAGGAAGAGCACTCAGCATGCATGGTAAGCACGGAAGGGCCCTGAGTGTGATTCCCAGAACCACATGCTCCCAAATACCTAGTGTGTCCTACAAAGACCATTTGAATAAGACAACAATATTAAGTGACAACAAACCCTTGGACTTTGACTAGAAACCAAGGTTACTATGCAGTCATGGGTGGGGAGGAAGAAGTGGACTAGAAGTGATAGTGGACAGTAGTGACGGTGGTGGTAAAATTGAAGTGACTTGGGGATCGTAAGGATCTGACTGTGTGTTTTCAAAAGGCCGGTGACGCTCTATCTCTCTTGCTGCCTGCGTTCAGTGGTCTCAGGTCGCTTTCCCCACCCCAGGGAGGTCAATGGCGATGGGCAGGCGAAGGAAGTAATGGGGGCCACGCTGGTCGGTATCAACTGGAGTTTATTCCAATCTTCACTCCCCTTCTGCTTCTCTCTCTCAAGCCTGAGCCCCTCTCACTTCTAACTCTGCCCCTCATTCTCCTTCCAGCCTCTGGATCTGACTCTGCCCTCTGGAGCAAAAGTCTCCTCCGAGCTTACAGTCTTAGTTTATATAGCAATTACATAGGATGGTGTCACAAAAGTGGGTTGAACATTAACAAATCAACAAAGAGAGGTAAGACCACTCCTCCAGATTAACTCAAGGATAAAATCTCATCTAAAGAGATTACTCCAGATTACTAAGAGATCCGCTCAAGGGTGGGATCCCAATGAGGGTGTGTTCTTTCCTCAGCGAGTAATCCACTTAAATAGTTGTAGTAAATCTACTTCTAATATTTCTAGCAATGTCATGCTGTATGAGCACAGTAGGAGATAAATTTAAGGTTTGGTTCTTCCTGAGGACATCTAACTATATATATATATATATATATATATATATATATGTATATATATATATACATATATATATATATATATCACAGTCCTCAGGTCAGATTAGTCTTCCTAACCCCAGCAGGGTCCTAGTCTCGTCGTACTTACTTTTGGATCATGACAGCATTTGTCCATGATCGTGCCCTCAACTTATAGTTGAGTATTGTGGCACTTTGGCCTGGACCATTTCAATGCCAGGGTAGCTCACAGTTTGCCCTGGGTCCATTCAGTCCCTCGTTGGGACCCTGCTTTTGAGGTGCTAGGAACAAAGGGCAATTGAGTCAAGAAAGCAGATGCCCAGGAGTAAATATTATTCAGAGTCAATCAACTCCCAAGTTACAAAGCATAGTATTAACTGTCTTCCTGTGTCCATAGAGAAAGGACATTGCTTTAAGGTAAACTATGCAAAAGATGGAGAAAAGCAATATTTAACTTACAATACAAGTTCAATGTCCTAAAAGGATCTGATCTTACAGAATCTGATTAGGGAAAACGTTGATTAACTGGCTGGAGAGGAGAGCACAGAGAAGAGTCTAAAGATAAACAGAGGAATAGGAGTGACTCAGGAGCACTGTGGTGGGTGCAACCCAACAAACCTAAGCTCCCTGTGGCAAAGGAGAAAGGACAAACTACATCTGATAATAACGGGAATCACAACAAAAGTTGAAATAAATCTTCCAGTTAAAAAGACAAATAAATAACTGTTAAACTTGTCTTAAAAAACATTCAGCCCCTTTCTGTTATTATCATTTTATTCGAAATATATGGACATAGGAAAACTTAAAGTTATGAAAATTTAAAAAATTGTGGACCAACTTTAGTCTCCCACAAATTGGTATAATTTGTTTTTTGTTGTTCTTAGTGTGGGCGTGGAGGAGCTTCTGAACTATTGCTCCGGATGCCTGGGGACCACTTCTCGCCCAGCAGCTATGGCAGTGAGGATGCAATACTACCAGGACCTGTGGTGCTGGAGGAACCCTGGATAGAGCTGAGGCGTCTCCTCCAGGGCTATTCCCTGCAGTGCTAGGCGACCATGGGAACTGGGCATCTTCCAGGGTTGACTACATACAAGGCATGGATGGATCTTGCCCTTTCCAGCCCCCTGTTACAACTTTTTCAAAGAATCAGACAAATTAGGTTTAATGAAAAATATATTAGCAGTAAAGACTGTTATCGGGCATGTTTAACAGTTCTGATGCATGTTACCTGATAAGAGGACCTCCCCAAAAAGTACAAATTGAAGATTGAAGAGATAGTACAGTGGTCAGGATGACTGCCTTTCATGCAGCATACCTGGGTTCAATCGTTGGAACCACATATGGTACTTGTAAGCACAAGGTCAGGAGTAAGCCCTGAGCACTGCCAGGTTTGGCCCCAGAACAAAACCAAAACGAAAAAAAAAAAGGAAGATATATTGAGATTCTCAGGAGAAATTGGTATGTCCTTGCTCATGGTGGGAAGATTTTAAAACTCTAAATAGCTTTTCAGTTAAGAAGATAAAAAATGGGGGGGGTGGTGCTGCCAGCAGTCAGTCTGTACCTGTGAGGTGAGTGCATCAGCAGCCTGATGACATCTTCAGACTTCCAGATACCCCAAAATTGCTGCTGTGCCTTTGGCCAGACCCCAAAAACTGGGGGCAAAGTTTACCAAGAAAGTAAACGGCCAAAAGTTAGGTGTGTGGGAGCCACACCCACAAAACACCTCCGGCTCAGCTATATAATTGGAGGCATGGCCTCTCTGGTTCCTGATTGAACTGCTTAATGACCATGATCCCAGTGACTCAGAAACAAATCTCAGAACCCAGCGGCTTTTGGCAGAAATGCGTCCGGTCCCTGCAGTAGGTTACCAGTTCTGGGCCAACCCAGGTGGAAATAGGTTCCGTGCCTTGGCCTGTTCCCCCCAGCTGCCCAGGGGCCGCCATCTTTCAGAGGCTACTGGACAGTCAGGTTTGGGCCCCCAGTGAGGAGACACGCAGGGCCTCACAGGATGGGGGGTGGGGAGCCAGGCCTGTCCTCCCCACCCCAACGAGACCCCAAGTCATCACCCATGAACAGCCTCTCTGGCTCCTGATCAAACTGCTTAACGGCCATGATCCCAGAGACTCAGAAACAAATCTCGAAACCCAGTGGCTTTTGGCAGAAATGCGTCCGGACCCCACAGTAGGTTACTGTCGCCAGGCCACCCCAGGGGGGAAAGGGTGCTGTTCCTCCGCCTGCTCCCCTTTGGCGACTCGGTGGCCGGCATCCTACAGAGGCCATTGGACAGTCAGGTCTGGGTCCACAGTGACGAGACATTTTGGGCCTCATGGGATGGGGGTGGAGCCAGGCCTGTCCTCCCCACCCCAACAAGACCCCAAGTCATTGCCCATGAACGTCCTCCCTGGCTCCTGATCAAGCTGCTCAACGGCCATGATCCCAGAGACTCAGGAGCAAATTTTGAAACCCTGTAGCTTTTGGCAGAAATTCCTCCAGATTTAAGTGTCAAAATTTCGGAATTTAAAAATCACATGGCCCTACAGCAGCCACGTGACATCATATGTTATTCATAACCAGCAATAGAACACAAATTGTCTACTGTTGCGTTTTCAGCAGATCTGAGTGTTGGGGTAAAATCTCAAATAATAATGGTGGGTCTGGTGTCAAAATATTGAATGTGATCAAAATAGAGAGAGAGTAATGTGGAAATCATCTGCCCCACAGGTAGGGGGAGGGTGTGGGATGTGGGTATACTGGGGTTGTTGGGGGTGGAGAATGGGCACTGGTGAAGGTACGGATGTTTCATTGTATGACCGAGACTTAGACCCGAAAGCTTTGTAACTGCTCTCACGGTGATTCAATAAATAAAATTATAAAAAATGAAAAAAAAAAGTAAGGTGGAGTTCATGCACAATTCAATCAGCTAATCAGTGGCTGAATAAATAGCAGTACTCCTACATAAAAAAAAGGAAAAAAAAGAAGGTAAAAAATGAGTGAGTGTTTTTCCTGGAAGAAAATTACTGAACTCAAGAGAAGGATACATGTAAGACCCTTCACCCTATAGAGCACAACACATATATTTATCAAAATTGACCACAGTTCGACAAAACTCACTAAGTAGAATCTGAATCAGTGTTTTTTGCAACCATCAACTGAACCTATTGTGTTTTGGTGTGGAAGACCTTAAAAAACTTTTTGGTCACCCAGATAATGCATTTGTATCATGTATTAGTACTGTATCATGAAAGTTTTATTGTTCATTTATTTTTATATGCATTTGATAGCACATATAGCACAGCGGGTAGGGCGTCTGCCTTGCACGCAGCCAACATGGCCGACCCGAGTTCGATTCCTCCGCCCCTCTCAGAGAGCCCAGCAAGCTACCGAGAGTATTCGATATGCCAGACACAGTAACAACAAAGTCTCCAATGGAGACGTTACTGGGCCCGCTCGAGCAAATCGATGATCAACGGGAGGGCCTTTACTTTACTTTACTTATACATATATGTGTATATGTATAT